GTTTCCATGTGTGATAGAGGATGCAAACACACCAACCAAGGTAGATCAGATAAATGCCCAGTGACATCTTCCATGGGCTCTCCTTCCCCCTTCAATCTTACGTCTTCCCCACAGGAAGGCAAAACTTTCTTACTCAGTGACAGCTTTGCAAAGCCATTTGTCCTATGTCCTTTATTAAGCATCACCAGTGAGACAGGACGAAAATCTAAAATCTGCATTCTCTGTGTGTTATGTGCCACAGTTTATCTCCCCGACATGGGCCAAAGACGGAGGCTCCATTGTGAAACCAATGATTTTCCAGGACTCTTAAATGTGTCATTAATGTTCCCAACTCGCCTCTCTGAGCTGAAGGTACCTGTCCTGACCCAGACTGGCAGTTCTACATCCAGTTGTATTTTTCTAGCCCATGGACAGCCCCACAGTTAAATGCTACACTCCCTGGGAGAAAGGTGTGCAAAGCATACTTCAGCTCCTTGAAAAGAAAGTGCACAACCTGCCCCACAACAAGGAGGGGTTGATTTGAGAAATTGCAGCACTTGGGGGTTTTTGTTTGTTTGTTTTAGTTTTCACAGAATAAACAGAGACCCATTCCTCCCATTCTTGAAGTGAATACATATTTGTGTTTCCAATAAAAGGCCATTTTTACATTAACTGTCTGTAACAGCAGGAGACAGAAGAATGAACGCAATCTCCACATCACACACAGGATGCTCTTCATATCACGTGGACCTATTCTCAAAACTATTATTTCTGAAAGATGCCCAGAAAAATGTGCAATGCCTCTTTTCTGTACTACCCAGAGGGTGACATCTGAGGAACTTTGAGATCCTTAAGATCTTCTATATGTTAGATTTTGTTTTTCTTTTTTGTCTTTCCAAAGTAAATTTAGCAGCCATGCGAGCCACTGTGTTTAATTAAGCTTTCAAAAGTCCTCTAACAATGCCAACAATTGCAGGACACTTCTGCGGCTCAACCATGCAGTCGCTGTGACAGTTCTATTTACAATGTGTTTTAGAGTTCCTCTGACATTGTACTTTGACAAAACATCCAAGCTGCCCATCCACAACCTTTCTCCGTCTTATTTACAAATAGAGCTTGTATGCAAGACTCCCAGTTCCACGAGCATCAGTCTGTGGGGAGCGACCTCACGAACACAGCCTCCCTATGAAAATGCTATGTATTTGTTACAAAACAACATTCTCTGCTCTATGGGTTCTGGCGGTAAATAAACATTTGCCAGTATTTCATTTTGCTTTCTGAATGGCGGTGTTTTCTGGAGTTTGCTGGCACACTGAAAATTGACTTCATAGATCAGTATTTCTTTTTATTCAGAATCATACAGATAAAGAGAAATGAGAAATAAGTAGCCATAATAAGACACTATCATTTATAGTCTCATTTACAATTAATACACAAATGCATCCTCCAGTTTTGTCTGGGCTAGGAATGGGTACAGAGAAGAAAAGGGAAGTTGGCTCTGTAGGCTGAGACGCATGATTGTGGTACTTGCTCTGCCTGTAGGTAACATGCTAATATCATTGCTTTTAAGAATTCCCTCTCCTTAGAGACACTGTCCTACATATCCAGATATCAGCTGCCTTGTGTAGGCATGTGATTTCAAACACCCCAATGGAAATGTCTGTATTCTGGATGTTAGGGGAGGGAAAAACAATTTCCCATCGGTAGCAGCAGGCTTCCCTGCATCTCAGCAGACTTCTGCTTTCCCATTCTGTTTAAAACCTAACTTTATGATAAGCTAATCCTAATTTAAAGATCCCCATGTGCAATGAGCCAAAACTTCAAGACTGACACTGTGAGACAATGTTTGGGGTCTTTTCTGTGAAAGAAAACAGTTTTATAACCACTCATAGTCAATGGGTATTTCACTCATCACAAAATAAAAGACTCAGAAAAATTCAGAAAGCTCCATCAGTCAAAGGCTGCTTCTGTCTCATGTTGGGTATTTGACATGCACACTGATTGACTGGACCACACGATATAAGCTGTTAACAGACATTTAAATTAATACTGCTAAAATGATCTCTGTTTTCATATATATATATATATATATATTTCATATATATATATATATGAATGTCTATAAGCAAAATGGAGAAGCCAGCTTTAGTCAATGCTTCTGGATATAGCTAACATACATGTGTATGTCATAAGAGAACACACACATCCATCTAGTTATCAGGTAAAAAGAATCCTGCTTTGGGAGGCCTGAGCACAGCTAACATGCATGCTACTTTACTGCAGCTCTTAAGGACCCTGTCTTACCCTCCTGTTTCAAAGTTCCCAAATTCTAGGTTTTCCTTAGGAAGACTTCATTCCTGCTTCCTGCCTGTAAAATGGCACAGAGCACACAGTGAACTCAAATATAACTTCTATCATTTCATGAAGCCTTGCCTACCCAGCATGCTCAAATGACTGTCTTTCATGTAGTTGCCAAGCATATTCTTGTAGTCATCCATCAATATATTTCTTCCCCAATACAGACTACTGCTTCTCTCTTTATGACACACAATTCAAATGTCTACTGAATGGTTACTGTTGGGAATCGTAGGAGCCCCAGCATAGAAAAAAACAGCAGGGAGTACACCGTCATCTTTGCAGAACTTTGCTTCAGGGGCACCTGAGGTCCAGAGCATCATAATGTATGTGCAATAGTAGAATGTTAATTTCACTATAGGAATGCCTTAATTCACTACTGTGAATTACGAGAAGTCATGATTCTAGTTACTGACATCCCACTTTGAGATGTGATCATGCTGTATATGTTCAGCCAATACCAGCGTAAGAGCAGGTGATTAAACACCATGAAGGGATCGAGGTGTTGCAATGACTTGTGCGTGAAAGGCTGACCTCACCTGGATCGCATGTGTATACTGTGAGTAAGTGAGACACCTTAGGTAGCTTTCCATTTCAGAGAAACAATGCACCATTAGCCCTGCAAAACATAGTTCAAATGCACACCCTTCCTTTTTTCTCTCTTTTTTGGGGGGAGATTAGATTCTGCTACCATACCATTATAGTTTTTTGAAATGCCATGGAATCATTATGACAACCAGTTAAGAGGGCTATTTCCTTCCCTGCACACCCATGTGGAATCCCAAGTACAAAAGTAAAACACCCTAACTATTTATCGGAAGGCTTTCCTCAGCCTTCAGATTTCTCTTCTAAATGCAGAGGCACTGATTTTCAAACTGGCTAACCTGAAACTGAAAAGCTATTCAGGCCTTCAGCAGTCAGTATGGTTTTAATTCCTGCCTGACAGACACTGTGTTTTGTCTTTTAAAGGAGCAGCTCGATATGTAAATATGATGTTACATCACACAAGCCTTACTCCATATTTGGTGATTTAGCAAGGCTTTGGATCTCCAAAGACGACAAATCCCCTTCCGCCTGCTCTTGCTTCATTAATCATGCCTTATACTTCTGTTCCTTCTCCTTCCAGTCACAAGGCAGCACGTGGAAATGGTCATTGCCATATCCTACAGGGAGGTGAGGGCGATAAAAATCTTAACCTACATGGCTCAGAAGCTAAATGTGGTGGCTTCTAGAAAAATACTCGACGCATGCAGCGTTCCTGGCAAGCAGATTCTTCACTTGACTAAAGGAAAATAGATGAGTATCGTTGAAGAAAGCATAAAAGAAAAAAGAAGATAGAAAATGCCACACTTGATCTTAACGATCAAATTCCAGATTTGGGGGAGGAGCAATGTGACATTTAGCCCCCCCCTTCACTGACCTATTATAGTTCAGCTCATGGTCCAACTGTATCACAGACAAGTTCCAGTAACTCTTGTGACTGACTATCTAACTATCTTTCCAAAAATGAACACACCTGCTTTTGGAGGGTGGGGCAATTCAGAGAAGGAACTGTCTCCCAGATGTGGAAATCCTATCACCACAGAAGCTGCTTTTGCTTTGTCTAACGTGCTAAAGCAAACAGTGTTTTAAAAGCCACTACCTAGTGTTGCTGTTTACCACTAGGGCAGGGAATTAAAGTCCCTCTGTTAGCTTCTAATTCCTTTTCCCTGGAGCTGCTGAGAAACCCACACACCTAGCTACCTCCTTGGTAAAATTAACTGAGAGAGAGAGAGAGAGAGAGAGAGAGAGAGATTGAGCTATTAAATATGTGCATGCATTTTTTTTCCCAAGAAAATTTTTACATTAGGCTAGGGAAGAAACTGTGGAGTCTGGACTGGACATTTGTAAGGGTGACATGTGGCTGTGTAAACCACAAACAAAATCAAGATACATCTGTCAAAACCACATCAGAGACAAGAGAGAGCACAGAGGAGCATTTATCACTGAGCTGAGGAGGCAGGCTGCAGGGAGCAGCCGTTCCTGTCAAACCAACCTTTTGAAATTTCCAACATGCCCTTAAACTTTTCGAGTAAGCATGTCTGTGCGCTTCAGCAACTGCCCTCTCTACTCTGGCCTGGCCAGTCGAAAATGGCATCTTAAAGTCAAGGTCACTGTGTCATCCCACCACGGGGCTGTGTTTAATTACAGCCCCATACAGCCTGACAGCCGGTATGGATCCAAGGCTAGCCCTGGAGCTCAGTTAACTCTTTCTAGCCCTTCAGACTAGTCCTTGGCTCAACTACAGAACCTATGTGGTCACCTTGCCTCTGCTACATCCCCAAGGCCATAAGTGGACACTGGAAACTAAGCTAGGTGTGGTAAGGTTCAACACTTTAAAATGGGAAAGCAAGCAAGGGAAGAGAGAGCTGGCATTGTCAGAGCCAGGTGAGGATGTCAAGTGTGAGTGTACCTTTCCCACCTGCATCTGACTCAGGAAGGTAGAAAACAATTTATTTTCAGAGTTCTGGGCGGAAGCAACGGGAATGATTATTTAACGTTACAAGGCCGCCATAGACAGTCACATGGAGAAATACAGACAGACTTCACCTCCTTCCTGCTTGACTACAACGCCTCTGCAAACGAAAAAACATGCAAACAGCTTTTCTCCTTTGCTTCTCATTTACCTGCTATGTGTTCCTGTTTGGGGCAAATTCCTCTAGATGACGTTGATAAACAATCGTCATCCTCTGGCGTGACCTGGATGCCAACCTCCACAGGATTGGATGCCTTTTTCATCTCGATGGGAGAAGGGGAAGGCGGCTTATCCACACCTTTTTCTAAGCAGAGGCTGCCATTGCATTGTTTCCGTTTGTGCTCGATAAAAATAAGAATGTCCCCCAATGGGAAATTCATCTGGCACTGCCCACAGGTGAGAAGGTCATGGTCCCCTTCTGGAGCTCCCAATGGGCCGTGGTCTGGTTCATCATCTGTAAGAATGGCTTCAAGAGGTTCGGCTGTGGTTGAAGAAACAAAAGCACAATTATTAGGGAACCAGTGGGAAGAAAAAGGGAGGACATACATTCTCAATCCCACCCCTGCCTTACCAGACTAGGACAAGTGTTTATAGCAGCCTCTACATAATACCCAGAAAATGTGTACATAGGCAACACGTGATCTGGAGGGTATCAATAATTAAATCTATCAGTGAGGCTGGCCATCATGTACTAAAGGAGATCCCTCCAAGTTGGATAACTCCAGAGAACACACACACTATAAATTCTTTCTTTAGAAAGAATGCGATTTAATAGTTAACACAAAAATAATAACTACAAGGAGAAACATGAACTGAAACCAATGTTGCCCCCCATACAGTAGGTTGTCTATTGTGCCCAAGATTAGAAAGGAAGGGCAATGAACACAGGCAGCCTTTGTGTGTGGATCTCTGCACACACTGTACACACACGGCCCCCACACAGAAGGCTGCTGCAGCCACACAGGACTGCCACATTTGCACGCAGCCGTAAGGCAGGACTACATTCACCTAGCTACCCATCACAACGAGGTGAGCCTCACACTGCTAACGTCTCTCTGCCCTCCTCATCAACACCACGAAATCCAGGAAACATCACAGTCCCTGGCACGTCTTCCCAAACATGTTCCCTAAATGGATACTTCTGAGTACTTAAGAAAATAAGCCAATTAGTCATGTCTTTTTTCATCCCGAAGAAAAGAATGTCTAAAATATTCTAAATGTGTTTGTGCTTGGTAGCATCCACGACATCGGAGTGGACACCCAAGGTCCATACTTCAGAGGGCTGAGCATCCTTTCTTCGGAGTTGAGACGCTTTACCTAATGTAGTCAAAGTTGACTAATTTTCTGAATGAGCTCCAAAATGCTTCATTATGGGACTATTTCTGCACACATAATCACCAGCAAATGTTATAACAAGATAGACATGCCTTTCTTTCCTTTTTGTCTGGGTTGAGGTTTTTTTTTTTTTAAACTTTGCGCTCCAGCATCTATTTGAGTAGCTTTTATCGTTTTTAACCTTGCAAGTCGAGAAAGGAGAGCTAGAAACTCTTGTTTATACTATCTTAAGAAAAAAAAGAAAAACTAAAACTAAAAAAAAAAAAAATCACAAAATACCAAACACGTGCAGGATGCTGCCAGCTAATGAAAAGTGAAGCAGAAAATGTACAAGTCTTAAACAGTTAATCAGCCTGACCTTCTTTAGCAAGCTGCCAATTTCACATTTAATGAACTTAAAGCCACAGAGAATCAAAAAATAGATTTTAATTTGAGTGTAGAATATTGGAACAGATTTTGATAAAGTGCAAAAATCCAGTGAACTCAGGTTAAATTTATTTCAACCCTACCCAGGCTCGATATTGAGGGGGAAGATCTGGAGTAACTCCCAGATGTGTTAGGTGGAAGAATATTGAGGGAGTCCTGCCTAAGCTGCACCTGGGCTCAAGTAGGACATGTCATAATTTCTAGCCTTTGGTACGCCTCCTAATTTAACATAGGTCACCATAAGAATATGAAGGTTAGGTTATCTCCCTACTAACGGAGGCAACAAAGTAAGCACTTATGTCCCTTCACCCAACGTCCTGATCAAAAGGCAAATAAGGAATGCACGAGCATGCTTTTCAGATAAAGGAGGCAAATGGAGGGACATGCTTCTGCTTTGTGTCTCTCTGTCATTTTTCTCTGCATTTGCTTTCATTTTGAGCAAGTGAGGAGTAGGAAGTCATGATCCATGATATCTGCTATTTGAATTACGGATTTTAAATGAACGTTGGCAAATGTGGCCTTTTCTGTTGCTCCTGTTTAGCTACAAGTTCTGAGGTTGAACGACTAAAAGGCTCAGGGGGGGGGGGTAAAAAAAATTGTTCTATTAAAGGTAAAAGATTTTTGCAAATCCTATCATCAGGATTCATGTTGGGTTTTGTTGTTGTTCTCAGAGCCTGGTGGATTTCAGAACGTATAAACAGTATTTAGGAGCAAAGAGGGTATTCTCTTAGATACCACATAGTTAAAGGTAATTCGGTACAAAATAGACCTGGTTGAAGTCTTCTAAACGTAGTGACTGAACTGATTTACAATCAAAACCAGGAAATGAAGTGGTAATTCACAGGTTGCTGATTACACCTCCACATTTCACCTAATTAATTTTATAGGAGGCAAAGTTCTTGAAAATAACAAGATGATCAAATGTACAGATATAAAACCTGTAACCTCAACATTTTCTATGCTCTTAACGTAAATTATTGCTAATTACCAAGAATTCTATCCTAATGTATGAAATGCATTTAACATTCGTCTCCCTGAAAAACATTTGCCTAGTAATGTGCAAAGAACTATCAAAACGTGTTTTTATTGCTGCTGCTGCATTATTTTTTAAAAAAATTCACACCAAATGGGGCACAAAGAAAATATGAAAATACAATTCTCTTACATCAGCCTAGTGATTTGCATTGACATCTCTCAGGGGCGATCAGCATTTCCTTTCTGGCCATCAGATAATTTCTCTGTATTTTAATGCAAATTCCTCATCCTCTAAAAACATTCCTAACCTCAGCCATTTTACCCCCTCCCTTCAATTCAACTCCATCCTAATTCTCCCCTACAATACCACCCTTTCTAAGCTTGGGCCTAACTCGGTACAAAGCGGGGAGTCCTCGATTGAAGTGGAAGGGAGTGGACAAATCATCACAATAATTAGCCGCGAATTCTCTCTACAAGGAGAGGAAGACAAAATAAAATGCTTCTGCTTTCAGCAAGAGAGACGGGACGGCCTCAGTGTCCCAGCGACAGCCGACCGATATATTTATATATTCATGTTTATTTCTCTCTTCTCCCACTCCTCCCCCCCCCCCGCGCGCCCGTCTTCCCCCTTCCTCATTACAAACATAAAAAGAGACAAAAATCCTTGTAAGAAATGTTGGGAAGAGGCAAGGAAACCAGGGCTGCTGAGGGAGGGGGAGGAGAGAAGGGAGCTGTGTCTCCCAAGTTTGCTTTCCAAGTGGATTTTTCTACACGCGTTAAAGCAAACCGAGGCTGAAAATCGGAGAGGCAAAGCAAAGAAACAAAAGCAAAGCCAAGGGCTGCAGGCCCGGGGCCAGGGCCCTGCGGGAGTAGGTCGCGCAGAAAGTGAAGTTGGGCGCCCGGGCTCCGAGGCACAAAGCAAGCAGCCTCCTTCCAGGCTGCAGGCTCCGGCCGCGCGCGCTGCGAACACGTGCAGCAGCGGCCTCCGGGCCCGCAGTCCCAGCTTGGAGGTGGCGGGTGGCCGGGGGACTCGGCTGCTGCCTCCACGCCCCTGCAGCCCGGCAGCCGCCGAGCGCCGGTTCCCTGAGCTGGCCAGTTGTTGGGAAAAGGAAGTAAGGTTTGGAAAACTGAGCTGGATAGCCTATCCAGTCTTGGCTTCCTCGCGCACACCCCGAGCGCGGGTCCTGAAATTCATTCTGTGTGCACAGGCTAACACTTTTACTTTGGAAGATCTGTGCAAATGTGTTTTCGCCCGCAATTCCGGGCACCGTGTGCGCGCCAGGCGGCGACCGCGGTTATTCATTATTAATGACGCTGCTAGCCCGCATCATTATGATGATAACTATTACTATTGTTGTGATTTCGGGCTTCCAGGCGAGAGCTGCAGGAGGCGGGGAGGGGGAGCGTTGGGTTGCCAAGCCGTCCGGTACGCCTGCGGTGGCCGCAGAGACCTGCGCTCTGCGCGGGGATGGGGGTGGAAAAAGTGAACCTAGAAGCCAAGGGCAAACTTGCCACATCCCTGTGTTCGGCCATGCCCCTAAGCTCGAGAGAGCACTCTCCATCCCTCGCCACCAAAAATGCATTCCCTGAAAGGACCCTAGAGTGCACCCGGCTCCCCGCCGGGAGCTCCCGGGTCCTCTCGCACGTGGGGGTGTCGACTGCGCGCCCCAGCGCTTCTCCCCGGCCATAGCCAAACGCATTTTTTTTAAGTCAAAATGAAGAACAAAGACCTAAGGGGTAATGGGGGGTGGAGAAAGGGAATTCATCCTAACCGTTCTTTGCCCCCCACCCCCACTCTCCCAACGTTCGACCCTCCCCCGCGGAGAAATGCTGGGCAGGGGGGTGGGGGAGGCTCTGGTACAGGTTCAAGTTCGTGGAGCTTTTCTTGATCTTGTTCTGCCTCCTAGCGACCAAATGGCTCATTCAGTCCACGTAGCTGAGGACCGGGCTGGGGGTTGGGGGGTGAATGGGGGGTCCTAAGGACCGGACAGGCTCCTCTCCTTTAAGCACCCAGAAAATGAAAGAAGTGATCCCTGCACATACCCCTCCATCTGGCCTCCTAGTCCAGTGTCCTCTCTGGGACAGAAGCAAGACTAACCCTCCCAGCCTGGAGAGTCCCAGAAGAGACCCAAGTGGGAGGAGAGTACTAAGCAGCTCGGACTGCGCCTCCCAGACTGTCCCTCGCGCCCCGCATTGCATCCTTCCGAAAGTCCCAATGTCCCGGCTTTCCCGAGTCCTGCGAACACTGCCCTTCCTTCCCGCCGGTACCTGGCCGGGCTGTAACTTCACACCGTCGCGCGCCGCGTCTGCTCTGTATCCGGCGCGGCCGGTGGGAGTGGGGGCGGGGGAGAGCGGCGAGGGAGAGATGCGCGGGGGTGGGGAGAGGGAGGGCCCCGCAACGTGCCAGGGCGGGGGAGCTTCCGAAGTGTGTGACAAGTTCCAGGGCCCAGAGGGGGAAAAAATTCAATTCCCAATGAGCACCCCTCCCTCGACAAATGCAGAAGAGACATAGGGGGTCCTTCAAGCTTTCATCGAAAATTAAGAATCATGAGTGAGAAAGGAGGGTTTGAAGGGGGGGTTTGGGGGAGGCTCCATGCCTTTCCATACTGGACTCAAACTTTCCTAAGTGCCCACCACCCGCCTCTCCCACCACACCTCAGGTGGAGATAATCGTCACCGCCACTAACACTTTACAGAAACTCACAGTAACCCCTGACCAAGACAGGCCCAGGGTAGAGGGCAAGAACTCAAAGGTGGGGCTCTCTGAGTCCGGGGACCCTGCACCCCCAAAATGCATACTCAACACACTTCTTCTGCCCCGCCCCCTCCTCAACCTAGCCAAGAAACTGCTTTGGTCCAAGAGGCTACTGGCCAGATTGGGGGTTGGGGGGAGGGAAAGCACGTGGTAACCTCTCAGTCGCCAAGAGTTAAGGACAAGAGGAATCTAAAAGAATACCACGGGTGTAGTGGAGAGGACTAGCAGAACTCGCCTTTACATCTGCTTTGCAAAATAAAAATGTTTTGCAAAACCGAGTTTCATCCAGCAGCTTTCCCTGTCTGAGAGGTCGGTAGGAGGGTTGGGTATTGTGCTAGGGGCGGACCAGAGCGCAGGCCGGGCTGGCGGAGTCGCAGCGTGGCCTGCCGCCGTGCCTGGCGGGTGGGCGGCGAGCGCCGGGTGGGCGATCCCGACTCCAGACTGGGGCACAGCGAGGTCGGGCGAGGCCCAGCCGCTGCGGCCGCCTGCTCCGGGGCTGCCGCGGCGCGCTCGGTCCTCTGTCTGTTTGTTGGCAGGAGGCTCCCGCACACGCGGTGCTTGTAAACATTCAGACACGAGATTTTTCCCAATCAAAATCCACTTCCACTTTTTTTGAAAATCTTCCAAAAAATAGTAAGAGGAGGGAGTTCCTCGCTCCCTCTCCGTGCCGCCGGCGCTCTAAGTTTGCAGCGTGATGGGGTTTTGGGGAAGGGGTGTCAGGGATTTTTTTTTCTTTTCCTTTTTTCCCCCCTCTCTTTCCTCTATTAAAGACTGTGGAGTTTCTGCAGGGGTGGGGGTGCGAACGAATCGGAGGAAGGAGGTGAAAAACACGACTAGCAAAACGTTTGGCTTCTTTGGGGGAGCAAGAAATTGTACATTCTCTTGCCGTTACTTAAATTTATTTTTATTTATTTTGCGCATCTTCGCCTGGTCTCCTTCAGGGCTCACCCAGAAGGGGCGGGCAGCAGCAACCCGCCGGCGGAGACTCCTGCGCCCTCCCTCCCTCTACCGCGTGCCCCTGGCTGCCTACTCTCTCGGCCCTTGCTCCTGCCCTTCGGCAGCGGCGGCGGCGCAGGAGGGCAAGCGCGAGGAGCCGGCACAAAAGGCGGCGGGACAAACACCCACCTCCGGCCGGAACAAAAGACGGCAGCGCCGAGCGAGACTCCGGTCCTTCCCGGTCACCCGGCCCTCCCAGCCGCCGCAGCCCCTCTCTCTGGACTCGGCTCACTGGGAAGCGCCGGGGACCCTCTTCTACAGTCCCACTTTCGTGAGATTGTGGGGGTGACTACTTTCCTCCCACTGCACACTTGACCGTGCACACGTTAGCGTCCTGAGGCCGGTCTCACCTCTTTTCTCCCCAGGAATTGTTTTTTAGACTTGACTCCCTCCCTCCCCTCCCTCCATTTTCCTATAGTGAAGTGGAAACAGCCCCCCTTCCTTCAAGCTCCCACCCCCAGGTTTGCATGTGAGTGTCCGCGTCCTTAGCATTGTTCATTATTTTTGCAAAACTAGGGTAGAAATCATTGCATTCCTTTTTGAAAGAAGAAATAAAGCGGCGGAGAGAAGGAAAGAGGAGGAGTCAATTTTTTATAAAAATTAAAAGGTGCGTGCCGTCTCAAAAGTGCACACGGTTCTCGTTCGAGAGGGGATGAGAGGCTTTTTCCCTTTTAATTTCTTTTTACTTCCACTACCGAAGGTTTTTCACCTGAAAAAAATTTAATGCATGCACACACCCCTCTCTTAACCTCACTCTTGCTTAGCGTCCCGCGCGCCCTCGTGATTATTAATAATTATTATTACTATTATTGGGTTACTTACGCGAGAATTCCCGTTTGCTTAAGTGCTGGGGTTTGCCTTGCTTGCGGCGAGACATGGTGGGCTGCGGGGCGGGCGGGCGGCGGCGGCGGCGGCGGCGTGCGGACGACGGCTCGGTTCACATCGGGAGAGCCGGGTTAGAAAGAAGGAGACTCCAGAGAAAATATCTTCATCAGTGCCTTTTGACATCCAAAATAAATTAGAAATAATACAAAGATGGCGCAGGGAAGATGAATTGTGGGAGAGCCGTCATGGCTTTTTTTTTTTTTTAAGAAAAAAAAAGAGAGAGAGAGGAAGAGAGAAGAGGGAGAGAGGGAGAGAGAGAGATGAAAAAAATGGCAAAAGCCCCCCTGAGCTGCAAGTTCAAGTGCGGACGTGACGTCCCTGCGAACTTGAACGTCAGGAGTCTGGATGGACAGAGACACACAAAACATGGGCAGGGCGAGCAGGAGAGAAGGGGAGGAGGGAAGGGGAAGCTCACACCAATGGACACACATCAGGGGCTGGACATGAAAAAGAGACCAGGACAAGCCAATGGCCAGTGCGGGGCGGGGGAGGTGCGGGGCGGGGGGCTCCGCAGACGCCAGACGCGGCCCCTGGGGGGAGGGGCGGGCAGAGGGGAGGGGGCTCTGGGGCGGCTGGCTCACCAGTGGCCGCAGCGAGCGCCGCGGCGGTGGCGTGGCCCGGAGAGAAGAAAGGGGCGGCGGGGTGGGAGGGAGGAGTAAGGGGGAGCAAGACTTGTTCCCCGCTCCACTCCCCCCGACACACACACACACACACACACCGACCCTAAAATGAAAAATTATTGAAGTGGGGGTGGGGCAGAGTGCTCCAGGACGCTGCAGCCCAGAGTCGAGAGAGGCGCGGGCGCAGGGAAACCAGGTAGAGTAGGTCCCGGACACCCTCCTCCGTGCGCACACCCACTTCCCCTCCCCGCCAGGGGACGCCGAGGGCCGGAGTGCTAGCCCCGAGCTCGTGGCAGCGCTCGGGAAACTTTGCCCAGTGAAAGCTAGGAAAGAAAAAATCACCCGAAGTTGAGAGCCGAGCCTCCAAGTTAAGAGCTCCGCGGCGGGCTAGGGGAGGCGGGCGGGAGCGCGCTGGCGAGAGAAATCCAGCCCAAGTTTGGAGGGTCGCGTGTCCGGAAGGCCAGTGCCGGGGCCCAGGGAAGCCGACGTCGCCTGGAGAGAGGCGGTTGGGGCGAGGCTGGCGGCGCAGGCCTGGGCTCGAAGCGCGCCCCCCAGGCCAAGTCAGGGACCCGGGATCTGAGCGACCCTACAAACAGTCCGGGGCTGAATGCCACAGAAGCCCTGAATCCCCAGCTCCCTAGGCTTGCAGGAACAGAAAGGTCGAGATACGTAGACCGAGAAGCCAGATTCCGGATGTGTTTCAGTCCCCAGAGGGGAGCACTCGGGGCCGGGGCTCGAGGCGCCCAAGCGTCCACCTCTGAGCAGACAGCGGCCCGAGGACAAAGCACGGGTAGCCCCAAGAGCCTGGGTCTCTGGGAACCTGCTCGCCGCGCTGCGGGAGGTCCTGGAGCCTGATTCCGGGGAGGGACACACCCCCTCCCACACCCGGGCAACTGGGAAAGCACTGAGCAAAGGAAAGAAAAATGTTTCTTATGGACAGAACACAATTGTTCTAAGCTGTTACACGGGGAAAGAGAAAATGGGGAAAGGAAAGAAAACTGGCTAGCAGGAGCTGCGGGGAGATCACGGTGCTGAGGCCCTCGGGTCACGGCCACGCTGCCCAGGCTCCAGCAGCCACCGCGCACACCCGGGACCCCGGAATCCCCTCGGTCCCCTCTGCAGACCTTTCCTGGAAATAAGGGAAAGACCTGTTGGAAATAAACCCCTGTCTCTTTAATGCACACGCGCGCGCGCTGCCGCTGTCAAAAAGCGGGCTTCGCTCTGGCGTGGGATACTTTCAGTTTTACGTAAAATATACAGCAACAGCACCCCCTGCGATTGGAAAGTTTATTCAGAAACGTGCTGCAAAGTCCCCCGGCGTCTCCCGCCTCCCAGCCTCCCAGCCTGCCTGCACCACCCTGCAGCCGCCGCCGCCGCCGCAGCAGCAGCAGCAGCAGCAGCAGCCGCCGCCGCCGCAGCAGCAGCAGCCAGGGAGACCGCGCTCCGGGTCCAAATCTAGCAGCGCCGGGGCGGGGACAGGGGATGGACAGAGTCCCTGGGAGGCGCCGAGGGCGCAGGGTAGAGACCCGAGCTGCAGGTGGACGTCTGTGGGTCTCTGCAGAGCCCGGAGCTTTCCTCCCCTCTTCTCTAGAGCCTGCACCCAGCGTCCCCGCACCCCTCCTCTGAGAGGTGTCGTTTCCGTAAATTCACCCACTCGCCTGGGGATTGTATTGTTTTAAGGCTCGGCCAGGGGCTTGCACACGCTCGCCCACCTCCCAGCCTCACAGGCTTACGGCTGTTTATTCCTGTGTCTTAGGAAAGTTTCAAACCTATTAGAAAATGGCTTGCCTGACTCGGCGAAGCTTCGGGCCCCTCTGAGGAAGAAACACAGGTTTTGATGCCCAACGTTAGGAGAGCTGTGGGCTAGACTGGTTTGGGGGGGTTCCCTCCCGCTGGCTCCCCTTGGCGGGGGGGGGTCTTGAATTCTGTTTGAGGAGCAGGAAGACTCTATTGCAGTAACTGCACGACACCGTTTCCCCTTTTCACTGAGTTCTTCAGAGCAGGTCAGCATCTCTTCCTCTGTTTTTTTTGCTTGTTAAACCAGCCTTAGAATCACCAAATGAATGTCGCCGCGGGAGGTGGGAGGGGAGGGGCCACAGGGGTGGACCTCTGCAGAGTAAGTGAGAGGAGAGTAGAAGAAAGTACAACCTGGAGGCCTCGGAAAAAATAAATAAATAAATGTTCTTCAGGTAACAATAGTGAGCCCGACTCCTTCAGGACGAAGCTGGGCAGATTTGAATCTTGCTCTCACCTATAAAAGTCTGTACAGAAAGGAGAGAGATACATGGACAAATTGTGCTGTAGAAATATATACTGTATATGTGTGATTTATATATAATGGCGTGTATAAAGCTTTTCAGGGTTGGCTGTAGTGTAAAAAGTAATGACTTTATTACCTCTGAAAGGTTCTGTGGTTCACATTTAACAGTCTTCTGAATTACAATTCATTACACAATCGCGTGCTCTCTAAAACCGGTACCCTATCAGGGCCGCTATCTGTGGTTCTTTCCAATAAATAACTGGCAGCATTTTATTGATTTTCTTTTTTAAAAAAAATCATAGGAAATTAAGCACTTAGTAACAAGTAGGTCTGCCGTGTTACTGCACTTGTTTCAGATTCCAGGGGGGGTCCTTTGGAAGCCACATTTTAAAACATACGTTAAAAAAAGCAGTTACAGCTTCTTGCCCTGGGATGCCAGTGCAAAGGTAAGCGGGAACGTTTCCACGATTAACATATATTTACTTTCTCCATCATGAAATGCCCAGGGTGAAATGGGACCTGCCCTCTGCTCCCGCCCCTCCCCCAACCAGATTTCACCCAGCCCAGAAAAACAGAGCTGTGCGTCGGCATTTGGTCTGTCCTAGCTGGCCCCCCTCCGGGTTCCTAGTGCTCCCGGGTACGGTGACGCCCCTCCCTTCTCGCTGATGGTTATTCACCCGAGCGCCCGAAGGTGGGGGAGGGGAAGTTTATATGAGTGTTTAAAGAAGTAAAAACGTGGTGTTCTAGGAGATTTGAAAAATATTGCATAAGTATTGATTAATGATGCAGGTGGTGCTGTGCAGCGGGGTGAAAGGTCAATTTTAATGTACACACTTGGGCAGGCAATAAGTGTATTTATTTACCTTTCCAGAAATGGCTTTTAAAAAGTAGTAAATTATGACAACGGTTAGAATTATTTTCTAGCCGTTCAGTTAACTTCGTTTGGGGTTGTAATACCCTTGCTTGCTTTCATTGAGAGAGCTCGGTGGGCTCTTTCCCAAACCTTTAGTGACGACAGTGCGTAAACCCCAGGCCAGCAGACGACCCCTCCCCTTCCCTCCTCCCCACTTTTATCTTGCCGGCGGAGGAGCCTCCCCATACTTCCTGCAGTATATATTCTGCCTCTGATCTCCGTACTTAATAGCCAAGTCCTGGTTTATGCTTTATAATGTGTTGACAAGTTTTCTAACAGACTTTCTGAAATAATGCACATATATTCACGTCGGTTAGAAACCCACCGTATTTTTAGAGTCTAGTAGATCTATACCCTAATGCGAGAGAGGGCGTAAATCATAGAGGGTTTCATAGTCCTTTCAGTAGTTTTCGGTATGAAGTATGAGCCGCGTGGCCTCCAGACGTAACCTTTTAGAAAAAAAGACAGGGCTTTTATTTTATGGTGCAAAGAGCTTTTAGCTTCGAGGTTCTGAACGTGAATGTGGTCAACAAACAGCTTCAAGAGGGAGGCTTAATACAGCCCCAGCCGTAGTGTAAGCATCCCTTTTCCGGGGACTCTCTGCAAGCTGGAGAGTGAGGGGTTAAAAGGTCTGTCTCCTGGAAACTACAAAATTAAAATAAAATATTCACTGTCTTTAGAGTGAAACGCTTTCATAGATAAAAAATAAATAAATGAATGATTAAAAATGCAATCAGTCCCATCTCGCTTTTTACTTCATTCTCCTTCTTTCTTTTTACCATTTTTGTTCCCTAATTGGCAGACCAGAAAATAGAGAATGGGCAATCATCTTTAGGTTTGGACCCTATACTCAGCACAGAATTCACATCTGAGGCTATTGAGGGAGCGCTGCTAGCTGGAGTGCTGTTAGACAATGCATTTGAAAGGGCAGGGGCTGTGTTTGAGGAGAGAAGTGAGCTTCTGTGCCCCCTGCTGCCTGTGTGACCCTGAAGCCCGGACCTAAGGAGGCCCAAGAGTAGACAGTATCTACCCCTCCGTCAAAGGCTCAACTCTTCCCTGGGGACTGGGGGTGGAAGGCACAAGTTTCCCCCATCCTGAGAGAGCCATCAGTCTGGTCTTTCTCCAGAGGCTGCCTGGGTTTCTGGGGTCTGGCAGGCTGTTTCGGGTGCACCTAAAAGAAAAGGAAGGTCTGGGTCTGCCCCTAAACAAGGCTGCTGTATGCTAAGTCAATCATGCTTGAGAGGGGGCTCTTTTTGACAGACAAGAAGTTCTGGTTAGAACATTGCTGAATGAAATTATGAATTTGACAACCTATGTTTGCATAAAAGACACATAGGTACGAACAACACTGATTGTCCAATGGAGGTATGGAGGTAGTGTGCTAGTGATTCCTGGTACACACAGTAAATGTTCAATAAACAGTCTTTGAGCAAATGAACTCACACAAATACTCTTACCACACCCATGGAACCAATTCATAACCATCCAAACTGTATTCATTTACCCAGAAACCAATGAGGCTTTGGTGAGGCAGTCCTATGGTGAGAGTCTATTGAAGCCTTAACGTGATTCCTACCAAGGACAGCTCAAAGGGACATCATCCCAAATACCTCACAGCTCATCAGTTAACAATAGAAGGCAATATGTGCACAGCCCCCTCCAGCAACCTACACTGTAACAATCTTCCAAACTGGCCAGTGTCAAGAACCCAGGATTAAATATA